AGGAGGCTGGCTCTTTCTTCTGCCTCAGTTCAAAAGTATGAAAGATTTGTACCGTCGCTGCAATCACTACATTCTGGTATCTTGAATCATTGTGCTAGTGGACATGAGTGAAAGAGGGAATAATTAATTTAAATAATTCTATGCCAGAGCATGTGTAAGAGCAAGCAACAATATTTAAATGAGGAAAATTCAATGAAATAACTATGATACACAAGCTAAAATTAAGAGCAGAGCGTCCTTGAGTTGGTGCCATAATGGTTGAGGCAATGGAATTTATTCCTTAAGGCCAATGGCAGAAAAATCCAAAAATCCAGCTTCTGTACACTAGACATAAGAGCCTTCATCTTTCTCTAGACATAAAAGCCTTCATATGTACAATTCCGTACATTTAAAAGTAACTCTTTCTTACATATTAGATTATATGTATTTACTTATCCAAAAGATTGATCACACTATTGTAAGAATCAACACTTCAGCACATAGAATTTGACTTTATATCATCTGCTAATTATTTTTGGATATTTGTTTGTATTCATTAAGTGTTCTGTTTTGTATAGTTAGCATTTCTATTTCCTATAGAAATAAAGCAGACCATTGTGACTTAGTTTCTTCCAATTCGCCTACAAAGATTTACCACTTGTAGTCACTTCAGTACAACAATGATACACTGAAGGAATTAGCATAAATGACATGCATAGATGATGTGCTTTTATGGATATGTACATCATAATGCATTGGTGAAAATTTGTACCAGACTGTAACAATCTACGCTACATGCACATCTGTAAACATACATGCATAATTGTGTAAATTATCAATTAAATACAATTCATGCTAGTGTGGAAGGTATTTTTACATAAGAATGTGTAAAATTGTAAGGGCAATGACAGTATTCATAAATTAAAATTTTTATAAGGCAAAGGTTTCCCCTGTCCAGTCATGTTCAACTCTAGGAGGCGGTGCGCATCTGTTTCCTAGTTGAGGGAGCCAGTGCTGTCCAATCATGTGACCGGCATAACTATACAGCCGAAGGCACATGGAACACTGTTACCTTCCCACCAAAGTGGTCCCTATTTATCTACTTGCATTTGCATGCTTTGAAACTGCTCGGTTGGTAGGAAAATTAAAATAACAAAAAATAAGAATTAATTCAGCAAGTGCATTGTATGACAAGAGATTTACTTGTGGGCATAATTATAGGAAAACTGACCAATATGTTTGCTGGATGCTGTCACCTATCTTGTTCCTTTTTTCCTTCAATAGTGAGGTTTATCTTTATTTTAGCTGCCTCTTACTTTTCCCCTCCAAATGGATTAAGGTTATTGATCAATAGTTGACAGTTACCTCTATAAATTTATGTCATCACAACAAGGATATTGCACCAAATGATTCCCTCTACAGTATACAAAACTTTGGGAAGATGAGATTTTAACATTAGTGGCAACCAAAAAAGGAATAAGAGCTGCTATCTTGTTCCCAGAACTGTTCCACAACAGCTGGAAACTGGTATTGTGAAGACTTTTAAAACAAAAGTGTCTTTATGAACCCAGGAAAAGCTCATTGTTAACAGAAATTGTTAATAAGAAAAAAGTAGGAAGGAAAATTCCAGACAGCTCCTTCTTTACTGTTTTTTTATCTTAAAGTATTATCTAAGTGAGATACACACACACACACACACACACACACCCATACCAACTAGGCTAATTATATATTATATTATATTATATTATATTATATTAATTATATTATATTATATATTATATTATTATTTAGCTTAATGGCAGCCCTTCAAGGTAGACTAGATTAAGAAACAAGCCATGCAAACAATGTTACTTTTATTACAAGGTTTTAGAGTCTTGTAAAGTCTCAGTGAGCTTTTCTTCTTTCCTCTACAACTAGGAAGGATCTTTCCTAGGTTCCTTACTCTGGTTACAGGTCTTCTTTTATCTAACCTTTGTCTTGATTGTGCCTCCTCTGCTTGTTCCTCAAGGGTATCCCTTTCACCCACCCTACTTAACTACTCATAGGTACCATATCCAATATTTTGTAATTTTATGCTGGTAATTTTATGTTTTATTAATATAGTATCCTATTGCTTCTAATTCTGTTTTTGAATGGTTGCAAGGTTATTTATTTTATGTTAGTCTACAGCTCAAAAGCAAACAAACATTTATTTTATTAGCAATTCTATATTTTTTATTTGTAAACCACTAAAATACATAGAGAGCTGTAAAGTCTAATTATAATTTATTCCAAAGTGAATATTAAACTTCAGCAATTTGCTATTAATTCCTGTACTGACCTTTCCCATAATCTTTGTTAAATATAGTTATAAAGCCAAAATCTTACTCCTAGGGAACAACTAATCAGGACCCAAATAAAAATATCAAAGAAAATTCATTATAGAAGCTTTGGATTTCAAATGTATGCCTTACAGAGTTGCCAGTACAGAGCATGGTGGAATAAAATGCCTGGACAGTTAAAATTCTCAACTTGAGTTATCATTTTTATGGTATATCAGTGTCTTATATGTCTTCAAAGGAATTTCAGGGATGGAGGGGCTGCTGTAAATCACTCTCTGTATATGAATCCTCTATATTCTTAGTAATGGAGCAATCCAAGAGCCAGTTTGATGTAATAGCTAAGGTTTCAGGCTAGAAACTAGGACATTATGAGTTCTAGTCTCACCTTAAGACAAAGTCAACTGGGTGACCGTGGACCTGTCACTCTCTGAGGAGCATCAAGATAATAATTCTGGTTTCTTTATTT